CCCCCCCCCCCCCCCCTTCCCTCTATGGCTCTTATAGCCTCTGGCCTTTTCCCACCTGCATTCTCTGCACGCCTCTCCTGCCCCTGCCCGGGCTCCCCATGGCTTCCCTGGGTTCTCTCTCCTCCACCTTGCATTCTCCAGCCCCCCCAATACACACACACAGATACACACACACACACACACACACACACACACCCCTCAGCCTGGACTTTCTCCATATCCACTTCTCCGTTTCTACAAGCTGGCTGCTGAGAGCATCTGCAACACCACAGAGCCACACAGCTCTGGCCCCGCATATTCTTTCTGCTCCCCACCCCAAAAAACTGCCGATTTTGACTTCCCTCCCTGAGCTGCTACCCAGGCCTGGGTGTCGAACCTGAGAGGGCTTTCTCAGCCCACTGGCCCTCTCCTCATCAGCTCGTTTTCCCCAACCTGCCTTTAGCCCAAAGGAAGGAGCAGTTTCTTTGCCCCTCCCAGTCCCACCTCCTGATTTGCCCCAGCTCACTCCTGCAACCTCAGTCCAGCGAGTCCACGCCCACCCACACTACTGCCCCTCTGAGCCGAGACCCACCTTCTCCACTCCCACCCCACGGCTCTGCCCCTCTGACCTTCTGAGGTGCCCCTTTTTCACCGAGGCCAGCAGTGACCAGCCTTCAGCATAAGGACATTTTCCTTCACAAGGACACTCCCTCCTTCTTGAAGCCTTCTCCTGCCCGATCCCAGGAAGCTCCTTCCTCCTGCCTCCTCCCATCTGGTGCCCTCTGGTTCCTCTGCTGCTCCTCTTGCTGATCTTGGGGGCTCAGCACAACCCCTCTCACCCCCGCCCATGGCTTCACTGGCCTGCTTCAGCTGGGATGACAGAGTGCATGTCCAATGGCCATACCAGCTTCAACGTGTCCACAAATGAGCTCAACTTCCCCCAGCCTGGTCCCCTTTCATTTCATTCATTCGCTCATTCATTCTGCTAACATTTTTGCGTGCCCACCCTATGTCATCATTGCCCCATTTGTTGGAGATACATTGGTGACAAAACAGCTACAACGGTGCCTCCATGGAGACTACAGTCAGGTTAGATTAGTAGCACCTGGATTTCTCCTGGTTACTCAAGAGGGACATCTGAGAGCCCCTCACTCCCTCATGAAACCATCACTGGGTCCTGGCAATTCTACCTCCCCATTTGCCCATGGCTTTCTCTCCACCCCATGGCTACCACTAGACTCTGGTCTTCCTGTCTCTCGTTTGGGCAACAGCTTCCTAACTGACATCCCTGCCTCTTGCTTCTCCCACTAATCTGCTCTCCACAGAGCTGTCGGGGGGATCTTTCTCCAGCCCAAGTTAGACACTGCCACTTTAAGCTCTTCCATGGCTTTAAGTTCTTCCCTTGTTCCCCAGTGGCCTCAGCAGAGAGTTCACGGTCTGGGCCTGGCTTCTAAGGTTTTCAAGACCTGCCAACCTCAGGTCCCTGAAAGGCTCCAGGACCTCAGCTCCCAACGGGCCTTGCTCTGCCATGACATGGGTGCCAATTAAATGAATAACCAAATGCAGAGATAAGAGGGTAGGCTTTAGGGTCAGGAGATACAGGATGCCAGTCTGCCTCTGAGACCCTGGGCAAGTCGGTGAGCCGCCCCTTCCTCATCTGTCACTGGGGATAACAATACCCACCTGGAAGGGCTGTAAAAGGACCCACCGAGATCCACGCAGATGAGCTTTGCCAACTGGCCATCCACGTGCACGATGGGAGGTGGTGGGGTGAAGGGATGAGGGCCCATGGGGTTGAGGGAGGAGGGAAGGGGTGTGAGGAGAGTCTTGGGGGCCGCATCCCCTCCCGGCCGCAGCCCCGCCCCCGCTGGCCGCTCACCTCCTGCACGAGGTTGCGGAGGAAGATGGCCTTCTGCCGCAGCGGGTCGTGCACCAGCCCGTCGGAGAAGAAGATCATGCCCTGTGGGAAGTTGTGCTGGGAGAGCCAGGAAACCACCCGCTGCTTCTGCATGTCCGGCCGCCCCGTGATGTAGAGGATCATGTAGCCCAGGTCTTGCCAGTGCCTGGTGAGAGGGCATTGCAGCATCCAGCCCTGCCCAGTCCACCCGCTGCCCAGCGGTCTGCCCCGCCTGCTGCCTTCCTGAGAAGACGGAGGGGCTGCTCCAAGGAGCACTAAGGAAAACCAGGGGGATCCCCAAATCCATCCTCCCAGTTGAGCCCCTGAGTCCTGTACATCTCTCTTGGATGGCCCACAGGCACTGCATGCTCACAGCCACTGGTCCCCGACTCCTGCCCCCTCTGCCCATGTCCTTCTCTGTGGTGCTGCCAATGTCATTCAAGTTTCTGGAACCAGAGATAAGCGCCTTTGATTCCTCCCCTTTCCCTTTGCCACCCTCCTTCCTCCTCCAATCAGGGAACCAGCCTCTCATTCTACCAGGTCCTACTGCATCCGCCCACTGTAATCCACTTCTCAGCCTTAGCTCAGCCCCAGGTCTGCCTGGGCCACTGCAGGAGCCTCCTGGCAAGGCCCCTTGCTCCACACACACTCCTGATTTGGGCGGGATGGAGCTTCATTAGCAGTTGGGTGTGAGGATGGCCCCGCTGGGGACCTGGGAGGGAGTTGGCTGTGGGCTCATAGCCAGGAGGGTCAACAGAGAGGGCTCTGCTCAGAGTAGCTTCTGATCTCTGAATGGCAATACCAAGTAGTCACGTGGGTCAATACCATGTCCTCAGAACCACTCTCCTGGGAAGGCAGTTTCTTCCACCTCAGGTCTAACGCCCCAGTCACATGGAGCTGCTTGGCTGCCCGGGACCAGCTTGCACTCTCCTGCTGCACACCCTCCCCTAGCAGCCTCAGGGCCCATCCCCTTATGTGCCCATCCTCCAACTCTCCAGGCCCCTCCTCCAGAAACCTTCCCTGCTTCCCAGGCAGAATCAGTGGCTCCTCTCTGTGCTCACACAGCACAGTGCGATGAGCGCTCCTGCTCTGAGCGCTCCGCTGCCTCGCATGGCACCCTGGCTGGGAGAAGTCAGCTAAGCGCAGGCCTGTTTGCAAGCTTCTGGGGCACTAGCCACCCGCTGGCCACTACAGATGGGGGTGGGGGGGTTTCCAGACCTGCCAGGTGACCGAAGAGATTGGGGAGGTTTTGTAACAATGCACGGGCCCCAGTGTCACCCCCAGAGAGTCTGGTTAGACTGACGTGGGATCCAGTGATCTGTGATGACAAAAAGCAGCTTCTAATGGGCAGCAAGGTTTGGGGAGCACCGAGTGGCCCCAGGAGCCCGCGGGAAAGAGGGGTGAGCACCAGAAGGATCCCCAGAGAGGAAGGACCAACCACAGCCTCCCTTCCCCAGCTGCGGGATACTGACGGGGAGGGCTTTGGAGAAGATGTTCAAGGGAATAAGTGGCACAGACTTATACGGGGGAGGTTGCCCCCTGAGATGCCATTGGGCCTGTCCATGACCTGTTCCCACGGGGCACCATGAGGTCAGCAGTCTCCTAGGAGCCAGGATAGCATTCTCTCCCCAAAGCGGTCACTGCTACTGGGGTGAGGCCGGACAGTCACTATCCCAACACCAAGGACTCCCAGGGCCCAGGACCTGTTCCACTCCGGTCACTTGGAGTCCTGGATCAGTGTCTCCCACCCATGACTGGATTCCCCACGGGACCATGATATTCCTCCTCCTAGGATCTCTCCTCATCAGTGCCCAGCCCAGGGCCTGGCTTAGGAAAGGGAGGCGGGTGTGGAGGGAGGCAGGGAGGGCGGGAGGAACGAAAGTGGTGCCCCTTTTGCTTTTCTATTGTCAAAACCCTCTGCACCCATCTCAGCGAGGCAATGGCCCTGGGGGGCTGCGTTTCCAGCCACACTCCTGCCCTGTCCTAATCTGGTCTCCAAAATCCAACCCTGAACTTGTCCCACCTGCCCCCACACATGCTCTGCTCTTCCCTGTCCTTGTCACCTTGTGTCCTCCTCTTGGCCTATCTAAATCAATTGATTTTTCTTTCTTTCTTTCTTTCTTTCTTTCTTTCTTTCTTTCTTCCTTTCTTCCTTTCTTCCTTTCTTCCTTTCTTTCTTTTTTTTGCCTTTTTTCAATTGGTCCCCCCTCCTTCCTCCTCCAATCAGGGAACCAGCCTCTCATTCTACCAGGTCCTACTGCATCCGCCCACTGTAATCCACTTCTCAGCCTTAGCTCAGCCCCAGGTCTGCCTGGGCCACTGCAGGAGCCTCCTGGCAAGGCCCCTTGCTCCACACACACCCATCCCTCCCTACACACACACACACACACACACATACACACACACTTCAATCCAACCTGGGCCTGCAACCTTGGGCAGGTTAATTAAGCCCAGGGTTTCAGTTTTCACGTCTGTGAAATGGAGATAATATTAGCAACTACCACGCAGGCCATGCTAAGGATGAAATACATGCATTAACCCCAAATGTCCCTGGCATGCTGTGCTTTATACAGGTGCTGCACTATTAGCCCCTGTACTGTTGCCACGGTGATGTTTGTAAATCACAAATCTAACTCTGCCTAAAAGCCATTCCCGGCTCCCCAGTGCCCGGAGGCCATAAGCCCTCTCCTCACTAGTGGCCTCCATGCTGTGTGAGCTTGCC